CAGGGAGCTTCACTCTGGTCAACATTGGTTTACATGTGTGCTGTCCTTCCTCACGCCCTGGACGTGGTCCTCAAGACATATGGGGTGCATCTTCTCCACTGTACCCAGTGTCTGGGTCAGGCTGGTACCCATGCACTGCCTCAGACTTGCTGACCAAGCACATGCACAAATACCTATTTTGTGCAAATTTAGGAAAGCAGTTGGTTGTGACAGAAAAGTTTTAGAAGGGAGCGGTGAGAGAGAAGGGCGTGGTGTTTAACAGGAGCATGAGGTCGTGAAGGAGCGGGATCTGACTACAAACTTAAGTGTGGGACCTTCCCCAACACTGAGGGTACTGAAGGCTGTGAGGTGTCTGAGAAACCTCCAGCTTCCCCTGATCCCCAAGAACAGGGATCTCTGATCTCGAGCTCAGAAGAGAAGGGACAGTTTACTGCTCAGGGTGGCGTTATACCAAATACGGGTCACATCCCTCTTGTGCTCCCGGATTCCCTATGACTTTGGCCAGTTCTGCCTTCCTGCCTGACCTTGGGAACAGTGTTGAAAAGACAGTTCGGAGCCGTGTACGATGCTGACTTTGGGGAAGAGCAAAAGTGTGTGTCGTAACAATCACGCAGTGGTAGCTTCCAGACACCTGCGGGGCTGCGGCGAGGGCAACACTGGCGCAGTTCCTCTTTGCCATCGTTCTCAGGATGTGCCACCTTCCAAATGCAAGCTGGACAGGGACACACAAAACCACAGGTCTGCAGTCTTCCTCTGGGACGGTATTGTTTTTAAGAATCCCGATTGTTTGTGGTACGTGGAGAATTTCCCTATTACACACTGAGCACATGTGATGGGAAACTGCAGGGCTTGGCAACCCTCAACAATCTTGCTATGTCAGCTATATATATGTTTTAACATATTTTCTTCTCAATTATTTGAATTTTAATTTTATTTATATCCAGACACTTAACATATGGTATTAGATTCCATGTTCTTTTTGTTTTTTTCTTTTGTCCATTTGAGACAGGGTCTCTATGCAGTTCAGACTGGCCTTGAGCTCACTTTGTAGCCCAGGCTGGTCTCAAACTCGAAAAGATCCTCCTGCCTCAGCCTCCCGAGTGCTGAGATTTCAAGCATGTACCAGCATGCCTGGCTAGATTCCATATTCTGAATAAAATTTGTTCATACTTTCATTTTGAGGTACTATTTTGTTTCATTTATTATTATAATTCTATAATTTTACTGATGGAAGGGTGCATTAAGATTTATTTAGCATTTTGGACCAAGAATCCTTGCGTGAACAGTACTTACCGATAGCAAATGATGTGAATTATTAAACTAGTATTTCATACACACGGAAGACCAGGCCACCAGCCTGAGTGTGACACCGTGGCACCAGAGTGTGTCAAATCAACCCTGCTCTTTACTTACCTAGCAGGGGAGGAGCCTGGGTTCTGGCTCCTCTGGCTCATGGATTAGGCCCGTTCCTGGGCTCTGTACTCAGAGCATCAGTTTCCAGATGCCAAGCCCATGGCCACTCCAGCCTCCCTGTGAAGTGGCCGAAGGCTGCACACAGCCCATCTTGTGCCGTTGGATATTTCTACATTACTTACGCTCCCGACACCACATCCGTGAGACCTAAATAGTTGTTTAGAAAACAAGGCAAGAGAAAGAGTCTGTGCGTGTTTCTGACAGACACAGTTTTTGTTGACTTGCCTCAGTCTGCCGTGGTCTCAGGGAACCTGCTGGCCGGGGTGGGGCCGAGGCATGGTCTGTGGCCGGCTCTGACTTGGTCGAGGCCAGATCTAAGTGAATTACAGAAGATGTACCTGTTTCAGGGCTGTAATGGTCAGCCAGGAATGTCCTCTCTGTTACCCCTTCCCACACTGAGATTTCACAGATGGAAAGTGGCAGGCGTTGCAGTCTGATCCGGCTTAGGAGCTTTTGCCAAGAGTTGCTGTGTCCCCTGGGCTTGAGACCAAAAGACATAATCGATTTCTGCCCAGGCCCACGAGAGTCCACATGGCTTGTTGCAAAGCAAGCTACCGACATTCCTGTGCATAGAGGGCACTAATTTCACGAGGAAGACTAAAAAGCTGTCAGGAAAACTACCCTGATCTTTTTTCAGAGCAGGGAAGCTGAGCCGAGCAGCAGCGGGGTGAAAAGGAGAAGGTTCAGAAAGAATAGCTGATGTGTCTGAGATAATTGTGTTTACACGGGCAGAGGTGTCAGAGTGACATTACTCATGAGACTGATTGGAACCGAAGGCCGCAAATCACTTTCAGGACTCTTTTTGGACTTCCCCATATTTTTGGAGGCTGGAGTCAGGATTACTGGCGGTGGTAATTAATCCTTCCCAGCCCGCATTCTTTGCTACTGAGCATAGGGGTGATTCAGGGGCCCAACCTGCTAAATCAAGATAAAGCTTGACCTCTGCAAGTAGAAGGCTTTTCTTCACTCAGCCAGCGAAAGTAAACCCAGGAGGTGAAATCAGCAGATCTCATACGTGGAGAGCTGCACAGGGAGCCGAGGGAGTCTGTGTGGGGCATTTTGAAGGTATTTGGAGAATATAACAGAGAAGGTTACAGAAGGCAGACAAGGTCGGCTCGCTGCTGTGTGGGGTACCAACCGTGGGTCCTTAGGAGCTGTAATATTTTCAAGGAAAACATTCATTTCCATGTAACTTGATCAAAGCCTGTCTTCCCTGGTTGCTGTTTGCTTATTTATTTGTCTGGTCCTAGTTTTACATGAAATTTATATTACTATCGCAGCTCGTATATAAAGTCACTACCGTGGTTTGCTTTGGCCAGAGCTAAAATCTTTGTGAGATTACTTTGCCAAGCAGATTATCACTGTCTTTGTGTCATTCTGCAGTTTGGTTGAACACCTTTCGACAAGAATTCAAATCCTTTTGGGATTATGCAGGTGAAATAATCTCTTTGCTTTTTATAAAAAAGTAGGAATAAGATAAATCTTCTTCCGTGAAACCAATTAAATTATATAAGAAGATAAAAGCAGAATGAACCCTTTAAAAGAGTTAAGGTCAAAGGAGCCACGTTCTCAGTTCCCTGGGGGTGAGGAGCTACAGAGTGCGCTCTGAGAAGCATGTAAGGGAGGAGATCAAATAAAATCATGGTTGTCTGTTGTAAAATAATCACTTTTTAGTCACTCAAGCATCATAAACTTGAGATTTTTGAGACTAGAGAAAAGAAAAATTCTGATCAACTTTGCCATTATATGTTCGCAACCCCACAAATACTAACGGCTTCCTGTTTCTCTGATATTAAAGGTTAGTGGGAGGCAGGATGAGCTGAAAAACAAGAGAAATCTTTCTGGCTTTGAAAACAAGCAGCGTGTTAGATTCCTTCCTGTTTACTGTTCCCCATGGCTGTCCCATGGCCCACTGCCCTCCTGTGGTATCCTGTCCCCCTCTGGGCTGCAGTCCTGTGGGCATCTGTCATGCATTCTTGAGACCAAGATGGAACGAATCACCTGCTTGAAGGTCTACTTGTGTCCATAACCAGAAAGACCTCGAGACGGGAGAAGGGATTGGTTAAGTAAATGACAGAATTTTAAAAACGTGTTTGGAGCTCCTGTGTCCCTTCAGCTCCTGTCTGTGAGTCTGTGTCAGTCCCCTGCTCACGTAATCATGTCTCTGCCTTACCATGCTGAGTGCACATTTAATTCTGTGCTCACACAAAATTTCATAATTCACATACACCAGCACAACTGTACATACCACACATATTCTAATTTTTCAGTTAAAAAAAAAAAAAAACAAACCAAGAACAATCCTCGTGTATTTTTTTTTTTTTTTTTCTGCAGACGCCAGGTCTTTCCTGCAGACACCCGAAGTCTCAGTCAATGAAGCTTCACCTGGGTCATCCTTAGAAATTTTGGTGTGTAGGGTTCAGCCTGATGTGTGGGTTGGAAAACCAGCATTATTGAAACTATTTGCTCAAGGAGGCATTCTGTGCATGGCAGTGGCACACCAGGACATCTTTGAAAGCCTCACTTAATTGTCTGGAGTCTTTGGAGACTCGGAGATCAGCACAGTTTTCCTTTAGGTAAATGTTTTAGTTTTCCTTTAGGTAGATGTTTTGCTGATTTTGACGTGAAAAGTTCTAGATACAGAAAAAGGGAAGAAATATAGCAGTAGTTTACTTCCTTCCAAGCTATAGTGTGGCATGCACTTTAGAGAGAGGACTTACAAGTTGTTTAAGGTCTGGACAGTTTGCTCTCTGCCTTTGGAGTGCATGTATCTGAGGCCGAGAATCTTATCAGTAGACACGGGCAGAGACGCTGCCCTTCCACCCTGCGCAAACTCTCACCCAGATGCTTTGGAGACGGAGGGGTAAAGACTCCAGCTCTTCAATCAAGCCAGACAGCCCACATGTCACCGGCCCATTTGTCTACCAGCCTGTCATGGGCTTCTAACCTCTCGGAGTCAGTTGGTGGCTGTTAATTAAGTCCACAGGACTGCATTTTGGTGGGGACAATTCATTTCTTATTTGAAAGCAAATCGAAAGCACCCGGGCTTTTTGTTCTTCTTTTGCTTTGGCCGTCACTGCTATCTGGAGCTTCTCACTCAGACCAAAGAGTGATGATGATTTGTTTAAAGGATCCACTTGATCTTTTGTTTTGACACTTTTTCTTTCTTTACTCTTTGTTTTCTTAAATTGGTCTAGCAGTCTGATTTAAAGGTGGATGTATTCCTTGGTGCCAGGAAACAATGGCATTTTTCTGGACTTTGTGTTTCTCTTGATTGTGTGTGTGTGTGTGTTTCAGGCAAAAATTCCACAATTGTGTTTTTAACTTATTACAAAATAGTTAAGATTGCTGTGTCCCAGGTTAAAATTTGTTTGTGAATCATTTTTGGCCAACTGAATTCTAGTAGGAATTCCTTGAGTATCTACTGCAACTTGTCCCCATATACCTTTTTGTAAGGAAGAGAACAGAATGTCCCTGTCCTGGAGCAATCTGTAGCCCACTTTTTCTGAGAAAATATACAGTTACAATTTTGTTGTCTCTTTATATAGAAATAATTTTTATTTAAGAAAGACTTGCACATCATTATAGAATATTCCCATTCCCACTTCACACAGTGTTCCTACTAGAAACATCTTGTATAACCATGATCTCAAAACAAATCAGTTAACTGTAACCGTTCTCAAGTGGCAGCCACACAGATGTTACTTGGTGCTATGGTCTGAGTGTATATGTTCCTTTAAAGTTTTTAAATTAAAACTGAACTCCCAAGGCAATGGTATTAGGAGGTGAAGTCTTTAAGAGGTGATTAAGTCATGAGAGTGGGTTCTTCATGCATTGGATCAAAGGTTTTATGAAAGAGCCCTAGGGCTCAGCCTCTTTTGCCCTCCTGTGGAAGGCTGAAAGGAAGTGTCAGCGATGAGGAAGTGTCCTCAGGAGACATGGAATCTGCTGGGGGTTTAACTTTGGCTTTCCTGGCATCCAGAACTGTAAGCACAGGGCTGTGTTTTCTAGATATTGTGAAGTCTGGGCAGTGCTGAATTAGGCTCCTTTCTGCATGTTTGGTCAGTGAGGGTGAACTTTTAGAGGTGCGTTTCCAGCCCCTAACCAACTTACTTACTGTGGAATTTCAACATTGCAATTAAACCTGAGTACTGAGGTTTTGGCTTAGTAAAGAACAAGTTGTATGTTAACATGTTTTGCCTTTAAAGAAAAACTAATAGCTCGTGTGCTGTAGGTTCACCACTGCGGCCAAGTAAACTTAGCTCTTGGCTACATCTGATGCTCAGAGCTCTTGTGATACCCAGATACCCACCAGGCCTGTTTTCCTGATTCCCTGAGCCCAGCGCATGGAGCCTGCACAGTGAGCCCTGGGTCAACTGAACCGGTTGTGTTTTGTAAATCAGAATGCTGGAGATGGCCACAGAAGCTTCTCGTAGAAATGACATAAATATGCAAGGAGATGGAAGAGCTAAGACTGTCTGAGGAAGCAGAAGAGATCATCAACAGAAGCCTGGGGGCAATGACAAAGCCACAGCCTGCAGGTAGCAGCTCCCCGAGCTGACCCTGTCACCAGCTGGGATGGAGGAAACCTTTCCCCATGACTCCTCTGCAGGCAGAAGGGCTCTGTGTCTGGTCTCAGGGTGCTTTCTGCCCATCTTAGCCTCTGGGTCAGAAGACAGAGTCCTTCACTCAGAGATGTGAGTGCTTGGATTCAGTCCTGACTTCCCAGACCATTGCTAAGGTTCAGGTAGGACCTTGTAGAGCACCGTGCTCCTCAGACTCCAGGGTTTGCTGTGTTGGGCAAATAATTAGGTCAGATGGTACAATTCTAAGTCATCCAGATTCCTCAGGGAATGTGTAACTCTGAGTCATGGAGTGTTCCAGAAAGCAAGCTCGTGATTCATTTGTGACAGGAAACGGGCACTAGGTTCCCCGTGGTGCATTTGTCTTCCTGGATATTGAAAGGCTCTCTCTCCTGGCACTCCAGACTGCCCTCTCCCCAGTGAGCATCAGGTATGGGCTCGGTTAACTTCGTGCTTCAGAGAAAACAGAATGATCAGGGGGCTGCACTTGGAGTTAAGAAGCCTGGGTTCCCACAAGTGATTACAGGGGTTTGGGAAAAGTGAGTAAGATCCCTGTTTTAGTTTCCCCAGCTGTGCTCTTGGTGGTTTGAAAGCTGGATGGATACTAGGAGGGAACTTTAGTGTCCTGGGAAGGCCAGGATATTGAAGAGGACCAGTCAGACATTTTGCTACAAAAACATAAAAACAGCAGGGACAATGTTCCAAGTGACACACTGTGAGGCCTTTAAAGCTGAAGATCTGCCACTGAATGCCTGTGCTTCCATGCACATTGCAGACACGTGCTGTCTGTGTACCTGGGAAGATTTGTCGATCTTATCTGGGTCTTACTTTCCTTATCTTAGAAGCAGAAACAGAAACTGTAACTCCAAGATTAAGAGTTTCTTAAATGTTCCTTACAGCAACATTATCTGTTAAGATCCATCCCCCATTGATGCTCTGTGGTTCTCAGAGCTGGAGCTCGGCAGGTCCTTCTGGGGTCGCCGTCTTCCACAGTGGGTGATCAGCACTGACAGGACGGGCTGTCGGCCCAGCTGGGAGCACAGGACGCAGTGAAAGGTGTCCCTTCCCACTCATCAGGGCTTGAGAGCTGTGAGGAGAGCCGGCACTTTCTCTCCCCTTTGCCGGGGAGGAGACCTGAAGTGTTCTTCTTGGTCTCTTGCATCTTTTCTTACCCCAAGTGCACAGGGCTATTCTGGGCCTGTGTATTTTGGGAGCTGTAATAAGGTACTTCTCAACATAACTTGCCATTTTCAGGCAGCTTTACTAGCTGCTCAGACATGGGGGCAACCTAGCAATTTAAGAGCTATAGTGGACGAGCCTGGAATAGAGAAGCCTGGCTGCACTGGGCGTGGGGAACGCGTGTTCTCTCCTGCAGAAACGAAGAAGGCTCACGCGGCTGAAATCACACAGGCGCCTTTCCAAAGGACAAGCTCTCGCTCTACCCCTTGTCTGGAAAATGCAAAATAATACATCCTTGCTTAGTTAGGAAAGAGCTGGCCTCTTGATTGGGCAGTTGGGCAGTCAATTGAACAGTGGACTCACTTTGTCTGCCTGAGGCCAGGAGCTGTTCGAGGCACCTGGCCATGATTCGTTGAGCTCAAATTCTACCAACCTGGGAATCAACTCCAAGAAATTAAAGCTGTCAGTTAGCACCAGGTTTTGACGTCCCTGATGTACCTTTAAATGTAACCCTTAAATGCATCTCCAAATTCCATGTGACCAATCATCCTTTCTTTTGCTACAGCATATAATATTCTAGAGTTTCAAAACATTAACATGATTATCAGGAAGCATGGGTACTGGCCTTTTAGAGCACTGAGGTGTGGAGTCATTGCATAGTGGGATTATTCCTGCACCTGAGATCTCCCACCCAAAGAGTGTCTGTCGTCTGTCACTACAGCGCATGATCTTTGTAAAAATAGTAAACACGCACTGATGTCTGACGCAGATTACCCACCTGTCTTCTTTGCTTGTGTCTGGGAGGAAGAAGAGAAGGACGCTGCCATGTTCTGTTCCGCTCCCATCTCGGCTTTAAACACAGGATGAAGGCAGGATTGGCCTGCGGGAGCTGACACTTCCTGGTCATATTTCAGACACAATCAGGCTCCTCGATGGTGGTGGCTGATCTATCAAGTGAGCAGCTAATCTTATCTGCGGTTCACAAATGGCTCAGATGGTAGCTTGTGACTTTGATTAGTGCAAGACCGGACCCCATCAGTCGGCTCTGCTCCAAACAGTGGTCCTTTCAGCCTCCTGCTCCTGGAGATCAAAGCACTCTCCCTCTCCCTATCTGCAGGGAAGCTCATTAGAGGGAGGCTGTCAGGGTTATAATCATGCAACAGTTTTACTTCTGGGTTAGGATGCATTCCCCTTCTTATCAACCTGTGAGGTCCAACGTGGGAAGGATGAAGGAGGTACAGATGACATCTGATACATTTAATAGGCTCCACTGCCTGGCCCCAGCTTGTTGCCACTGCTGCTAAGGACTACTGAAGGACCTGCCCGCACCCAGCCCACCCCCTCCAGATCTGCAGGGATTAGACTTCATGCCTTGGGGTCACAAGGTGGAGCAGGGGGAGGGGCGCTGGCTGTCCCCTGGAGGTTACTCTGCTCTGGGGAACTGCAGAGGCTCACACACCGAAATGCAATAGGAGTTTTTAAGTCCCGAGATGATATCTTTAAATTTCAGTAGCTGCGTTAACTTGGCCATTTTGCTGTGAACTACAAGAAAGATAATGGTATTTACTAGAAAGATTTTGAGGGTCTCTTCCTCAAGGAAAACAAATATAACCTGAGCTATTCCTGTCCTTATTGGAACCTGTATTGGGACACCCCCATTTGGAGCTGAGCCCCCTTTTCAGTATTCCCCTGGCCTCCAGAATTACCACTGGCACCGCATTTACCACACCTGACTCTCTGCCCCTGTCTCTGGCTCCGTGAGGCTGTGCGGGCCTCCACCAGGAACGTCAGGGGTGTTCTTTGTCCACAGTGAATAAAGTCTTGTCTGTAAAAATGATTTATACACCACAGTTTATACAACGCAAAGGGCACTTGTTGGATATCAGACTTGAAGATGACAAACAGAGTATTTTGTGGGTGGGCCCAAGAACACATTTTCAACAAATTCCCACCTGTTTGTCTTTCTATTTAAAAAATTAAAACAAAATAATCAGTACATTTTTGCAGTAGGTGATGAGGATGCTCCTGATGGTGGGGGGTTGATACAGGTATAAAATATATCTTATTTCCTTCCCCGCCTCTCCGTCCTTCACCCCTGGAGAATCACAGTTCACACTCAAACTTCCTGTTCACGGTTTAACAAAGTAGGCTCTAGCTGTGTATGTGTGTGTGAGGGCAATAAAAATTTTTTTTTGTTCCTGGTTTTTCAGTTCATGTCTAAATTCTTTCAGCTTAAAGTCCTGGATCTTTTAGCCGTGAACCTCATGCTCTTTTCATACTAGAAAGCACTAAAGATTCGGTGCCAGATGTTGGCTTGATTTTTATATTTCTTTGTCCATCTTATTCTTTGTGTACTTCTGGATGCTCCTGGAAATAGCAAAGAAGAAATATCAGAGAAGGGAATGAAAATCATAGGAGAATCTGAGCAGGCCTGGAGGATGCAGGGCAGATCCGACTCTCCCGTGCTCCCCTCTTCACCCTGAGTGAGGCTGGTCCAGTTGAACAGACAATAACAGTCCAGGTGCTCGTGCATGACAGGACAGCACTGCCAAGTGTGCCCTCCGTAGTGAGGAGGGAGCAGCCGCCCCTTCAATGGAGACCAGGGAAAGGCAGCATCAGCAGCAGGGAAGAGCAAGCGGAAGTCAGAGTGCTGACAGGTGACAGGGGTGCAGCCTGTGAGCCAGGCACCTCCACTTTAGACGCCTCCCGCTGAGTCTCCTTGGTGCCAGGGCCGGGCATGCCAGTCTCTTAGACTCTCCATTCCTTTGGTATCTCTCTTAGGACAATGGACACAGGAATAACCTTGGGTACTGTTTAGGTTCGGTGGAGGGAGGGAGTGACTCACTCACTCAGGCTTTGACCTCCTTGTTCCCCGCCCAGAGCCTTGGTCCCCAGAACTCTTTGTGGGCAGTTGAGGGAGGAAGTGTGATCTTCTGCAAATGTCTCCTGCTGAATCAGGGCCTTGGCCCTACCTGTGTGGAGAGCAGGAACTCTGGCCCGAGGCATCTAGGAATTCAGGGGAGCTGAGCTGTTCTTCTGAAGATTTCTTGACCAACTGTGGACCTGGAAGCAGGTTCTGCTCTTGAGGTTTGGTCATCAGCAGTAGGTGGAGGGCTGTCAAACAAGAAGAAACAAAACTGACCGAAAGATTAAGTATGCAGAATGTTAATAATAAGTCTGTGAGAGCGTTAATAAAGAGCAAGTCCAGGATAGCAGCCAAGACCCTGATTCTGATCTCTGGCCAGGACATCCGTTCTCCATGGATGTTGGAAGCTCCTCTGCCAGTTTCTGTGCCCCCCCCCATTCTTCTGGGATATTGACAGATACAGGGGACAGAGGGCCACGGCTGCTGGAGTGGGTGCGTGGGACAGGGTAGGCCTGGGCTTTCACCCCTTCAGCTTCCTGTGCTGTAACGTAACTTAAGGAATTCAAACTCCAGGAAATTCATTTTGCTTCTCTGTAAAGTAGGAAACATTTCTATTTCATATGAGAATTAAGGGAAGTAATTTTAAAAATGATCTTGCAAGGTGTCTGGGACATTCTAAGGCCTTGGCTAACGTGAGGACTGTTCTGGCCCTCTTTACTCTGCTCCTGTCACCTGATTCCAGCAGAACCTGAGAAGAATGTAACCCAGCTGGGAAAAGACCAAAACCTACACCCTCCCCTCGTGTCCTCGTGATGTACTTACCTTTCTTTCCTCGACATCAATTGCACTGTGCATTTTTGAAACATTGAAACCCATTTAAAACTTTTAAGAAAGAAATTATTTGCAGTTAAAATAATGGCCTTTTCATTAAATATAATTTGGAAGGCATTAGTACTAATTGTAATTGTAAAGGAATTTCTGTCTGACACGGTAGAGGTTAACTGATGAGAGACAGCCTCGGGAATCCACAGCAAGCTTATCAGAATTTCAATCTCCTTTGTTACCCTCTTAGAGAATAAATAACTAATCATTCACTGACTGCTAATATAATAGATTACCCTTTTGCTGAGATGGATGATAATTTAAACTTTCCCAGTATGTATTTATTTAACTGACAGAAATCATGAGTCAATTATATTTGTTTTAAATGGCAATGCATTTCAAAATGAGAAAATTTTGAGTAATTAAATTTTTAGCCTACCATTGCAAGAAATAATAAATTCCATCACTTCCATCTCAAACACTGAACATATATCTGAAGTGTTTATTGATTACCCAGCCTTAGAAAACAGATACTGAAAAAAATTCTCAGTGAAGTCTCTGGCAGGTCAGAATAATACAATAATTTCCCACCACACTCTCACGGCTCTTGTGTTTAACTGCACGATTTCTAGCATTAAGTGACTTTTTGTTGAACCACACCAGAGGTTCAGATTCTGAACAAATGTGAATCAGCTTGGTAGTAACATTGGGTGGGGTTCATCTGGAGAAGAACCTTCAAGGTTCCTGCTTGCTCTGCCCTGCCTGCTGTCCTGCCTCCTCAGCGGCGACCTCCAGGGAGGGCCCTTGTTTATCACGGTGGAGCTGCGGTGTGGCTCAGGGATTCTGCCAGCAACCTGCGGTTTCTCCACCAGCTCAGCGTCCTCGGTGTCATCAGACAAGGGAACCTGTCTGTTTCTGGGGTCTCTCACCGGACAGAGGGAGGCTTCCAAACAAGCAGATGAGTAGCCGGGAGTGCTGAGCCCACGTCTGCAGTCCCAGGACTCTGCCAGGCTGAGCAGAAGGACCAGCTTGGGCCTGCCCTGGGTGCCTCAGCAGCCTGGTGAGAGCTGGTCTCAAAATAAAACAAACAAATAAATGAACAGGGGCTGGGAATGTGGCTCAGCGCAAGAGGCCGTGGGTTCAGGACCCAGCAGTGAAACAGAACTATAAATAAATTTAATTAATAAATAAGGAAAAAGGAAAAGGAAAGACTGACACCGAGTTCACTTTGTTTTCCCAGCTCAAGAAGGAAGCTCATCCCTCTTCCTCCATGGGGTGAAGGGCAGAGAGGGCAGAGGCTGAGCCCCTGCTCGTTTAGAAGCTGCCCTCTGTGCAGTGAGAGAGCCTCCTGGAGCCCATCCCGTGCCCCTTTGGCCACCCAAGGAGTTGCCTGGTACCATCAATCCGGGAGGTAAGTTTGTCCAAAAGTGGACTGGAATATTCTGAGCCCACTCAGGTGACAAGCCTGAAGCCACACTCTCTTGGGGGACAGAGAATGAAGCCAGGGTACGGGGTCATCTGTGCACTGATGCAGCCTTTCTGGTTGCCAGCAGAGGATGTTGGGGTCCTGATTGTCCTTGGCCCAAGCACGTGGCTCCCAACCCAGGCTCGGCCAGTTAACACTACATCAGTGCTCAGTACAGTCCCATAGATGAGAGATCAGAAAGAAACGTGCAGCTGCTCGTGAGTCCCCATCTCCGTGTGCTTGTCTGTCCGACAGGCAAAAGTGAGTTCCATGACAAAGCAGCCGACATCCGGAGCCCACTGTTCTTATCAGCGCCTTGGAAACTTTAAGCTGGTGCATTCTTTAAGTTAGGCAGCCTGAGACTTTTGAAGTTTTATCAACCAGCAAACAAGCCAGGTTACTCTGCTCAGGCTTTCCAGAGACCCAGGGAAAGTATTTCTCATGCCCCAGCAGAGACACTAGCCCTATTTGTCATCTGGGTGTGTGTCTCTGCTGTCTCCCAACTAACGGATGAAGTAAACGTTTAGAGGAGGAAATAAGACGCCTCCTCCTGGAGGCTCTGGCTAGGAACAGTTACAACTCACCCTCTTGCACTGAGGGAGTCCTGTCTGGGCTATCAGTGATCCCTGACTGGGAGACCTGTGGTGTATATTCACTCAGAGAAGTAGATGTTCTAAGGCTTTGTCCTAAGAAAGTGGTTTACTGATGTTTTCATGTTAGCAATGCGATTGGAGAAGCCTCTTCTTGACTGTGTATACTTTTAGCTGGTAGAGGAGGATAAGATTTTTCATATAACGCTGTTCATCTATTTGTGCATCTGTCTGTTCGCTAGATGTATGTGAAATGTTTACTCCAATCACCCTGCATTAGCGGTGGGGCGGGATGGAGAGGCAATGTGAGTTTCAGGGAGCTCACGGCGGTGGGGAAAGAGACCAGAGTTATGCGCTCCCCACTGGTCATCTTTAGACACAATGCAGCAGGTGAGGGGGTTTGGAGACAGACAGCTGAGGAGCAGAGGATGCTTCTGAGAGAGAACCAAACTTCTCCCCCGTCGATTCTTTGAGTTCTAATTGGGACTGTGCTTCATTGTCTTCCTGGTCCTCAAAGGCAGAGAGGGTATTGTTTGCAGCTCATTTTCTCCTGCAGTCTTAACCAAGAATGTCTTCAAACGTATCACATAACCGAAAGGCAGAGTTAAGCAAGAATGGCAGAACTCTGGCGGCAAGTAGCCCTGGGCTGGTGTTTTCCGTTGCACGGTGTATAGGGTTACCTTATTGTTCCAGACACCCGCTTTCTGTGCCCAGTGCACATACATTTGAGCAGCATAACAAATGTGCCATATTACAAAGCACCTAGATGTCACCAAGGCCCAGAAATCTGGTGGGGTGCCTGGTGACATTCGTCCAACTTTCTTTCTCTACTGAGCGGCAGATGGTCTGGCACTTGGGGTGGGCCAGTTAGCCTGGGTTTAATCGCAAACATTCACAAGCTTTTTCAGATTCCCTGTGCAACACAACTTTTATTGCAGAATGCCATCTGCCTGCCAGGGAGCAAACCCTTGCACCACCGGTGTAGTTGGTCATTCCAAAACCCAGACTGCGTGCCTTGAAGGTTTGCTGCAGACAATGGCTCTCAGGCCCCAGCTGCCCCAGCTTGCTCTGGAGAATATTATCAAGCTTGTGGTTCGGGGTTAAAGTTTGGGGTTGGGGTACTGTTAGTGTTTTCATCACTTGCAGAAATGTACAGTCTGACAATCACCATGTTCGCAGATCAAAGGCAGCAGGAGGTGTTATCTGCTGCTGGCTGTGCTGTGACTCTGAGCACACTTCTGCCGGCTGACCCGAAGGTGTGCTGGGGTGAGAACAAGCCCTCCAGCAGATGGCCGTGTGGGCGTGGGCTCACGTAGGATGGCATTCCAACAGCAGAGTCTGCGTGCCTTCCTCCGGGTTGGCTCCACTAATCCCAGCTGTAAAATAATGGAGCACTTTGGAGGAGGAGTTTGATTAGCAGGTGGAGGGAGCAGCTCAACTTGACTGGAGATGAGTGGCTGGAGCGAGGTGCTCCGGGAAGCCATCCCTTGTCTGCTCTCAGCATGGGGTGAGACCAGGTCCTCGTTACACCGACCTCCCAGCAGTTTCTGCACGGCGCATGGCCTCTCCCAATTCCGTGCCACTCACTGTCTCACTGAGCCATTGTTTTGTTGCAGGACCAGCTGAGCCTTTGTTCTGCAGGCTCAAATCATGCAGCACCTTCTTTTGGGTCTGGCAAGTTTTCTTATTCCCTTGGAAAAGATCCTTCCCTTCTCTGTGCCCCGTTGTGGAACGGCGCTGCTGAGATGCTAACCAACATCCTTCATTTTAGGATGTGAGCACCTGAAAGATGCCCTGTTCCCTGTGGTGCCCTGTGGGCACCAGACAGACGGCATAGGGCTGGGTGCTGGCTTATCAGGCAAGTGAGAGAAGGGCGGGGCCTGCGCGTTCCAGAAGGAGAAGCAACTGTGGGTGCAGGGGGCTCTTGGAGGAAAGCATCTGCGTACCCTGATTGCTCCTGTCCTTCAGCCACATTTGTCATTCCCGGGAAGAAATCTGTCCTTGCCAGTCATAAGCTTCCCACCTTGCCACGTCCTGCTACCCTGCACTGAGGGTAGGGCTAAAGCTTAGTTTGGGCTAAAGCTCTGGTCCCTCCAGCTCTTTTCAGGGTGTGGTGTTGCTTTCTAGAAAGCAGCCTGTTTCCTCTGCAAGTGACAATCTTGCCTGGTGTCTCTGATGAGCTCTAGCTGGCCATTCCTTCCTCTCTGGGCTAGGTGCAGTTCTTACCCGAGGCTAGATCCAGCTGCTGGGCCTGGCCTCTCTCTAGGTTTTGCTGTCTCCAGGACACTCCCAGGAGCACCACACATGAACAGAGAAGCTGCCTGGACGCCGGGAAGCTGGAAGCGGCAGATTCCTGCCGTGGTGAGGGAGAGCAGAAGGAAGCCAGCGGGAGAATCACTCCTCTTCCCCTGCCTGTCATGCTCCAAGAGCAGGTCTTTCATGTTTTCTCTCAAAAATGAAGTGCAAAAAAAGAAGAAAAGAATCCGTGCCTGACTTGAAATGGGCCAGACTGGTGCGGGAGCAAGCCCTGCCTCTGCCCGCTCCCTGCAGGTGCCGCAGCCTGCTGCTCCTGGAACCTGGGCGGGGCCCCTTCCTTCCAGCTGGCCTCACTTCCTGTGCTCTGGTAATAAACGAACACCACTTTCATTGTCTGTGCATTGCCACAATTATCTGTCCATGTGCCCCTTCCGGGTTACATCTCTCTTCTGAGCAAAGTCTGTATCTACTTATCTTTGTATGTCTGCTGCCTAGCACAGTGCCTGGCAGAAATTGGGACTCTGGAAACAGTGAATATTTTCTAGATGACTGATCCTAAAAATACTGAGACTAGATTTCTGATCAGGGAGAGTTCCCTAACAGATCTAAGAAATGTTTTTAATTGTTTGCTGCTGCGATGTGTGGTCTCTTTGGCTTCACTTAAATTGAGTCAGGGATGATGCAAGCAATTGTATCATACTACAGGATTATAATTACCCTCCAATAATTATGAGAATAATTACTACAAGATGGTGGGGCTGGCTTGTTACCAAGCTACAGTAGATATTCAACACATAACATCCCTTTTGTGCAGGAAATATATGAGCTTGGTATGATACACTTGATGTTGTTTTGGACGACTGCCTTTGGTTGAAGACATTCTTGTGACTGTACTAAAAACTCTTAATCATAGCTTTTAAGTGAGGGGGTTTATTTGGTTGTTTAGCCTTAGTGTATTAATCGGTGTGAAAATGCTCATAGGGAGAAAGGCATTTTTAAAAGACATTCTTTTCAGTCTTAATGAACATAAGCACCGTTTTTCTTCCCAACACACTTGTCAGGCTCACGGCCCCTCAGAACGCGTGGGCTCTGAGGTGACACAGACACAGGACCAGAGGAGGGGTGCTGTGCTCGGCCTGCTTCTCCCAGATGCCGCCAAGGTAGCGAGACAGAGCAGGGCAGATCTAACCGGGGTGCAGGGGACGCCTATGGTATTCCACATGGGGCTTACCCCACTTTACAGACCCTCTGACATCACATCAAATGGTTTTCATGTGAGTTTCACAGAAGTAATTTTCTGCAGTGAAAATGACTCAAAATTCTCCAAGGGTCCAAGAGCCCGATTCTAATTGTGCATGGAATCCAGCCGGGTAGAATATGAAGAACTTGGTGCCTTAGAGACGCCCGCTGGGCAACCGAGTTCTGAGTGACCAGGGCTGGCGGAGAGCAACTACCTGATCGCACGGGAACCTTCCCTCCCGGGAGCAGCCGGACGCGAAGACACTCACCTCATTTGCCTTCTCTTTCGGGAGCAGGAAGGATTGTGGGGTGCGACCCTTCTTCTGCTGCTTCTCCCCTGCTTCGGGCTCTATTGTCAGGATTTCACATCATGATGTAATCCAGCGCAAGTTGTCCAAAACAATATTAGAGTTATTCCATTTGTTAAAAGGAAGATATCACTAGTATGTGGCCCTTTGGCAAAATCTCAAGTCTTAGTTCTAGGCATGGGTTCAATCACCTGTTGCTAAGATACTGCAAAAAATATTATCTGTTTTTAAATGTTTCCTTTTAATTGAATAAACTGTTGCTTTGAAATATCAGTGCAAAGGTTAAATAGGTCTTTGAAATCACATATATAATTTTTTTTAACTGGCAGAGATATTTCTGAGCATTTTAAATGGAGCAGCTGCTGTCTCGTTAGCTTTCCTTTAAAAGCGCGGACAGAGAGCTTTTCTTAGCCCAACTGGGTTGAGGCACATAGCTGAGGGGCTGAAAGGAATCGCTGCCTGTGACAAATGCTGGTTCAGCTGTGCGTTCTGCCTCCAAGGCATGAGGCAGACACAGACATGGGCCCCATTAACATGGATTCTGATTAACGGCCCTGCCACTGAGAAATCCTGTGACCTATGACTGCATGAGACTCTGGGGGACATCTAGACACAAGATGTAAAACCTTAAAACTATAATAAAAGCAAAGAGATCTAATGCACATGAAACACAGCCTGTTACCGGGCACATAACACATGGAACATAAATGGTAGGTAGCATGCTTAGGGTTGCCACTGCCACTGTTAATAATACAATTCTGTCATCACACGTCTCTGGAAGGATGTTGGCATCGTATGTATGATGGAACTGACCACATAACTTTTCCATAATTGATATTTTTCTTAGCAGGGTCTTAAGTCATTTTTGAAAACTTAGCTGTCACCTTGCTTAGGAATTCAAAGCTTTTATTCTTACCTCTGTCTCTACTGACTAATGTCTTGTTCTGAGGACTTGACACAAAATGAAAAGCTGTAGTGTCTTCTCTAGTCTTCATTGCCTCAGACTAAACATGTCCAAGTTATCCAAATTTCTTTAACCAAATGAAATAACAGGTATGTACAAGGCAAAGTTATTCAATTTTAAAGCTTAAAAAAGACTTTAAACTCTAAGGTATGGAGCTAATCAGTAGCTAAAGCTGGTCTCAAATAAACAAAGGTCCCAGATTCCTACCCAAAGGAAAATGACAAAATGCACATAATAGCAAGAAACAAATGGAAATCAGAACGTAGAGGAGTGGTTGGTGTGGGAATGAAGAATGTCTCCATCTGTGGGTGAATGCAATGGGATCTGGTGTGGGAGCCAGTTTGCTCTCTGTTAGACTCCCTGAAATTCATGGGTCAGCAGGTTACTGGCATATAGACAGTATGGGGGCCGTCAAGAGTACGTGCTCTGCTGAACTCTCCTAGGCACTGCTTGCTCAATTTGCCTCCACCAACTGTCAGAGGGCTGGTGCCAGCTCTGGTGAGGCCCAGCTCACTGTGCCATTTCCTGGGAGCGTGGTCGACCCCACAGTCTCGGGCACTCATAGGACAAATCTACACAATGAGAGAGAAATGGAAATGCACGGTTCGTAGCAGAGTTTCACACTCCCAGCATTTTTTTCGGACACCGTCGCCACCCTTGATGACCTTGCTGTGAGATACCGAGTGCTCTCAGTTCTCCCTGTCATGACCCTTGAGTGCGCAGGACCTGAGGTCATCAGAGCACAGGGGGTGTAGTGCCCAGTGGCAGCACTGCCTTCCCACCTAGTCTCGTGAGCACTACATTCAATCTTTTGCAGGAAATCATTAGCAATGTGAGGCACTTCCTCTCCTTTTTCTAATTTAAGATGTGTATGGGTTATAAATCTATGGGGAATGGAAGCAGCCTAGGCACTGGGGGCACATATAAAGAAACTTGTTTGTCCTCCAGCATCTGTAGACCACTGAGATACACACACATGCATGCCTTTGACAACCCAGGTGGTAGAGAGCTGTTGAACATGAAGCTGACCAAGTCTCCTCCTCCCAATTTACTCCCTGCGGATCTGTTCTCATCTATAAGATGATCAGGAAAGGATTCTTCTGAACGGAAGAGAGGGCGAGGGCAGCTGTGGCTCACACCAAAGAGGTTGCATAAGGTTTTTATTTTTCTTAAGAAACCTAGAAGCCTCAGACAGGCACCCACTGGCTTTGGGTCAGTGTGTTGTACGGGTTAATTTCTTTATAAATCTCTTCTCCATAGAAACAAAGAGTTAGGGTCTCATTTTTGATAGAGGTCAAGAAGGAGCCAGAATGCCTTTGAGAAGGTACTTCCTGAGCACGAGGCTGGGGCGGCAGCTTACTGCAGAAAGCTGAAACACGTCACTCTTGAGTTGACCGCGTGTTCCATCTGCTGAGGGCCATTGGACAAAGTGCTCCAGCCTTCATCACATGTCATGCCCGCCACACCTCCCAAGTCACACCTGGGTTCAGAGCTGGAAAGGGATGAAAGGTCAACAGCCTGTGACCCCAAGCCAGAGGAAACGCAGACTTTCTCCTTGGGCTCATGGAGTCCACCTGGGTCGCACGGGAAGCTTTGCAAGGAAGAGCTGAAAGCAGGAAGCAGGGCTGTTGTAACGGACCAGATGACATTCCTCACCCCTCGGGGCTGTGCATGTGACATCTGAGCAAATGTCGAGACCTGTCATGGAAGGGTGAGGGTGGCGGGAGCGGCCAGTGCTTTTGTGTGTCCTTGTGAGTCATTTGATTTTGGGAGACAGCACGTGCGATTATAATAACTTTGTCTTATTTTCCATCCTTTTGCAGGATTCACTAGTGGGCCCGGAAATAGTGTTATTTAATGTTTCTCTCTATTTTTAAATTGTGCTAAGCGTCTTAAATAGGGCGTGTTGAATTCTGGAAGTCTAGGATCATGGAACTAGAATGTACCAGCTTTAGGGGGTAACATTTCTTGGCCACATTTAGTGTGGAGTAGAGAGAACGGATGTAGAGGCTTCACAGAAGACCCTCCCCGATTTAGCCTCATGAACCTCACAGCACTAGAACAGTGTTTTTCTTTAGGGACCTTTCAATGACGTGTGTCAAGCTGATAGTCTGAGTGGAGGGTGACCCCAGCCAGGACCTTTACAGCCCTTTACAGCCAGGAAGTGCAGACAGACAGACAGACACAGTGATTGTCCCCTCCATCAGTTGCCACTGAGGACCCCAGTCCCGTCGGTGCTCAGTGCCCAGGTGGTCCCAGGCTTGGGGGCTGAGGGGACCCATTATTGACTCTTTAGGCTAAAATAGGGCTGTTTTCCACCTGCACACACTCAGAGATCTGGTGTTCATCTGATAATAATCTGAAGCGCACAGATGACAGATTTGGCAAATATAAGAGCAGTTACTTTTGGACAAACAGCGGTGCTCCAGTCCTTTGTTGAGAAGGCCTGATATCCATCCGGAGGACAGAGTGACGCCTGGCTTGTGAGTCTTTGGGAAGAGGCTTTGCTCCCAGCATGTGATGCTATGAGGGCCTCTGTTTTATCTTGGAGAGGTCATGTCAGCAGAGCTGAATTTATGGGGACATTGAAGAGCTGAGTGGGAGCTGTGGGCCACATGGGCAGAGGTATCAGTAATGGTTAGCCACTGATTTAGAACCAACGGCGAGAAAGTCTTATTGGGTAAGTTGGCTTTGTGTGAAAATTGGTCTTTAGCCATTAAAGTTTTGTGATTCCTGAAAAGCAAGAAGTAAACAAAATGACTTCTTGAAATTGATCTGCTTCCAATGTTTTTCAGCACTGCTGAGATTCTAACACATTCCAATCACAGATGCTCTGTTTCCCAGGACAGGAACCCAGTGGTGGAGAATTAGAGAAAGCCAACAGTGTGGCACGGCTGAGGTGAGCAGGCAGGGCGTGAGTGACCTTTCCCTCTAACTAAAGAGTCGGTGGTGACCAAGCGAGGGGTCTCCACTGTATTTGTCTTCAGAACTCACCTTGCAGATGGGGCCACTTCCGTACTGAAACTGATGGGTGGAAATCTGCTTATATTCAGTGTGGTTTCTAAGAATACGCTCCATGTGCCCAGCATGGATCCATATAAAAGTTTCTTGGCTTTTGAAGCTTTTAATAATTATTACATAAACGAGCCCAGCAAAAGAATTCTGTTGTTCCCCATCACAGGATATTAAATGGTGGAGCACACTGTCTGAGTGAAGAACTGCATCTGAGTGTTGATAAGAATGCTATGAAATACGTGTTTGGGGCTATGGCTTTCCTCTGCGTAAAGGAAGGCAGAAGGGGGACAGTGCGGGCAGAGGTGATGGATGCCTGCTCTCGTCGGGCTGGCCCTTTCATCTTCCTGCTTCACGCTCCTCAGCACCTGGCCCCCATCCTCAAGATTACAAGATGGCTGCGGCAGTGGGACGTCCTGGCTCTCGAATCTGTGTTACAGGAAGACAGAACAAAAAAGGGGAAAAAAGCGAGTGTACACAGCAGTACACTGAGTGTCCCCTTCAGGAGCTTTCCTGGAGGCTTCTCCAGGAAGCCGTCTGCGTCTCATGGACGACTCCTACCTGCAAGCCACCCTGGAAATACTTCATAGCTGTCACACTGCTATTGGTTTAATGTGGACGGTTGCTACCAAGAAAGAATGGGGTGTCTGATATTGGCATATAGAGTCTCTGTCCCCAGACTGGAAGGCTAGAAGGGAATCCGATCACGTGCTTCATGAAGGTGCCAGCATTTAATAACCTAATGCCCCAATCATTTGATTGATCTGTAATCGTGCTTTTAACAGTTCTGCTTCTCAATTTTTCTAATTCAGAGCTTATGGGGAAAATCTTGTGGGACTCTTTTCAGTATTACATAAAAGCCGTCAAAATCTAGCGACAAGCCCTGTGTCTGTCTGTAACAACTGCTGTTCTAGTTTTTGTGATAAAATAACTTTAAGACATTGAAGGTGTTAAGAAAAAAGTAGGTGCGATCAGGCGAGGGAGAAAATGAGCTCGCAGAGCAGGCACAAAGGTTTTTTCTTTTGTCTTCCCACAAAGATTTTCAGTTAACGCCCACCGTCTGTATCAGCCATAGGTCAATCAGAGGTCCCATTTGGTCATTTT